GGACGCGCTCGCACGGACTCAGAACCAGGAGATGTGGACTGGGAGGCCGGGAGCCTCTCCCCGTAGCTCCTCCCATTGCACCTCGCCCCGCCACCGCATCTCTCCCTCCGCTGGATCCTGGGCCTGGCTTTGGAGGGGCCGCGTTTTGAGTGTCCCCAGTTCACCCGTAGAGTTTTTGCCCACGTGCCTCTCCGATCTTCCTCAAATCTGCATGCCTTGGTTTTTTTCCTGCACTCCTAGAGGCACTTTGCACCTCCTAGGTACCAGCTGCTACAAGGAGCCCTGAGGTCGTGGCCAGTTCACAAACCTGGAGGTAGTCAGCTAGATTTCTCAACGGGAGCAGCTCAGATTGGGGTGGTCCCATTTTGGAATGACAACAAGGCAAAAAAAAAACAAAGGGGGCAAAAAATGGCACCAAAGTGTCCATTTCTTCCAGCAACTCCAGACCAAGCTAGTACGTTTTATAAGAAAAAGCACTTTTTTTAGCCAGCTGTGCCTCCTAGTGGGACTCGGGGAGTTGAGCATCCCTCATAGGACCCAGGAGCTGAGTCTTTCCCTGCTCGTGCTTCAGCAGGGATGCTGGTTCTGCATCCACCAACCTGCTGGTGCCTGATCTCAGGGGCTCCAGCTCCTCGGCCAGCAGCTGTGCTGTTTCTACGGGGCTGAAGAAGAGGTGCCACTCCGTGTTTTTTAAATTGTTACTGGTTTTCGCCTGAGTGAGGAGATGTTTGAAAGGCTGAGACTGCTCCAGCTGGTGCCTGCAAGGTCCTCCAGGCACATCAGAGCCTGCTCGCTTTGCAAAGAGCTGTTGGGAGCCCTTGCACTTGAGCCTTCAGCTGTCCAAAAGGCAACCAAGCAGTAACAATTCAGCGGTACTCTGCCGTGACAAGTTACATAGGTGTTATCAAGATAGTGCTCCCCCCACCTTCTCTCGGCATCTGCTCAGGATCAGGCTTCTCTGTGTGTGAATTAGCTCCTCTTGTGTCCATTCCCACGATCCCAGTTCCTGATCACTGCCCAGGGTGATGCTAGCTTTCTCTGTGCCATTTTGCCACAAGATTCTCTTCATGGGTTTCTTCATACCTCCTTCCACTGCACTGGCGGGTCTGCTTTTGGGTTCGTTAGGACGACTGGATGGTAGCAGTCTTGGACCCTGGAGTAACACACCCTGATGGAGTCGTGTTGTATTTTGCAAGCCCCGATTTTGCTTTTTTGGTCGGACACTGTATTTGAGCGTCTCCAGTTTTGCACATCTTCCCGCTGACATGGTGGTAGCAGCTCTCCTGCCTTTCCTGCTCCACAAACTGCTGAGGAGAAGACCAGGCCAGGAGCGTGGCCGGCCAGGAGAGAGAGGTGCCATGCAGCCAGCCAGGTGTCCAGCTGATGGTTAACTTCTCCATTTAGCTGCACACTGCCTGTGACCCACAGAACCAGCTGGAGCACCCAGAGATGGATGTAAAACCTTTGATTCTTGGAGGCGAGAAGAGTGTGTGCTTGGGACCTGTGTCCCCAAGGCATCTCCTCGGGCCACCCTGTTCTGTGTGGGACTCCTCCGGAAGAGCTGCTCCTCTCTGCAGCCCCAAAGCACTGGCGTCCTCTCGGGAAAAGCGGGAAGAATTCAGGAGGAACGACGGGACACTCTCTAGCGTGGCAGCTGGTGCCAGTGGGACAGCCGTGGGGTGGGACACCACGGGGGGTGGACTTCCAGCCCACATGCTGCCAGACCCCAACCGTCACTCCTTCGCGTGGAAGCTGCCTGGAATCCTTGGCTCTGTGGCTTTGGTGTAGCTCGAGCGCTCTGTGTACTGCCCGGCCTTCGCCCTCCCTCCCAGTGTTCCTGTCCGCCACCAGTTAGACGGCCTTCGGAGAAGGATACCTAGAAAAAAATTTACAGTTGCAAAGGAACTTTTGATTCATATATAAAGATTATTTTTATACTTGTTTTGCAAGGAAAGAAAATTGCCTGTAGTATGTTGTAGAATCATAGAATCGATTCGGTTGGAAAAGACCTTTAAGGTCATAGAGTCCAACTGTTCCCCCAGCATTGCCAGGTCCCCACTGACCCATGTCCCTCAGCACCACATCTCCAAGGCTTGGAAATCCCTCCAGGGGTGGGGACTCCACCACTGCCCTGGGCAGCCTGGCACAGCCCTGGACAACCCTCAAGGGAATAAATTGTTCCTCAGGGACAACCTCAACCTCCCCTGGTACAACTTGAGGCAATTTCCTCTTGTCCTATTGCTTGTTCCTTGGGAGAAGAGCCTGACCCCCACCTGGCTCCAGCCTCCTGTCAGGGAGCTGTGCAGAGCCAGAAGGTCTCCCCTGAGCCTTCTTTGCTCTGGGCTCAGCACCCCCATTTCCCTCAGCTGCTCCTCATCACACTTGGACTCTAGACTTTTCCCCAGCTTCATTGCCGTTCTCTGGCCACGCTCTGGCCCCTCAAGGTCCTTCTGGGAGTGAGGGGCTCAAAACTGACCCCCGGATTCAAGGGGCGGCCTCCCCAGTGCCAGAGGGGTGAGCCCTGCCTTAGTCCTGCTGGCCACACTAGTGCTGATCCAGGTCAGGATGCTTGTGGCTACCTAGCCCACCTGGGCACACGCTGGCTCATCTTCAGCCAGCTGTCGGCCAACTCCAACGTCCTTTTCCTCCAGGCAGTTTCCAGCTGCTCTGCCCCCAGCCTGGAGCGTTGCAGGGGGTCGTTGTGACCCAAGTGCAGCACCCAGACCTTGGCCTTGTTGTCCCTCATCCCAGGGGCTTCATCCCATTGCTCCAGCCTGGCCAAATCCATCTGTAGAGCCTCCTACCCTCCAGCAAAGCAGCACTTCTGCCCAATTTGCTGTCGTCTGCAAACTTTCTGAGTGTGCCTTAATCCTGCCTCGTTCAGACCCCTGATAAAGATACTAAACAGAACAGGTCCCAGTGCTGAGCCCTGGGGACACCACTTGTGCCCAGTGCTAGCTGGAGTCATCCCCACTCCCCACCGCTCTGGGCCTGGCTGTCCAGACGGTTTTTCCCCTAGAAAAGAGCACGAGGAGCTGCTTTCTGCAGGAGGCTGCTCTGGGAAAATGCCGAAAGCTTTACTGCAGGCTAGGTAGACTACATCTGCTTCTACAGAGTTCTCTGACGTGAATAAAACCAAAAACTCCCTGAGCCCCCCGCCCTGGCCTGCACCTCCCATCGGGGTGCAGTGAGCAGCGGGGTGCGGGCCCTTGGCCCTCGGGGCCGGGCCCTTTCCTGCAGGAGGTGGGTCCTGCCAAACCC